CATTTTATGAACTAAGTACTAAACAACTAACCAAGCACATTTTATGAACTAAGTACTAAACAACTAACCAGGCACATGTTATGAACTAAGTACTAAACAACTAACCAAGCACATTTTATGAACTAACTACTAAACAACTAACCAGGCACATTTTATGAACTAAACAACTAACCAGGCACATTTTATGAACTAAACAACTAACCAGGCACATGTTATGAACTAAGTACTAAACAACTAACCAGGCACATGTTATGAACTAAGTACTAAACAACTAACCAGGCACATGTTATGAACTAAGTACTAAACAACTAACCAGGCACATGTTATGAACTAAGTACTAAACAACTAACCAGGCACATGTTATGAACTAAGTACTAAACAACTAACCAGGCACATGTTATGAACTAAGTACTAAACAACTAACCAACTAAATGTATAACATCAAGATGAATGTGTGGCAAATGCTGATATAAAAGATATGTCCTAAATGCTAGACTTCAATACCTTAGAATTTAAATAAGATATATATATATATATATAATGAGACAGTAGATGTTGATAGACATTAGAGCTTAAGAGTGAGGCTAAGGCAAACCCCGAGACAGTAGGTCTTGATCTACATATACGGAGTGCATGGAAATTATTAATTTAATTTATGGAATTCATTTACTTGTGCTTCAGACATACTTAGAATCAAATGTTGATAAGTCCGTTAAGAATTTCTGGACACAATAACTGTTATAGCTTACAAATGAAATCATAGGAGTTGGAGAAAGTGGGATGTTTCAAAATAATTTTGTAATTTTAGCAATCAAATCCAATTTTTTGTAACTAAAACTCAGTTTTTAAGTTTTATCTCCTAATATTTTTATCAATGAAGCAAAGAAACTGTCTTAGTTGAATGGATGGTAATCATGTCTGCCCATGCTGAAATGGTTAAGTGTGTTCACACACACACAAACACAAACACCACCAGTTAACATGGGGGAGGGGCAATGACATACAATGGGGCCAAATCTAAAATCAGATTAATGGATGTCATTAACTTGAGGGGGGCATAATTTTGGGGGGGCTGACCCCCTACTAGTATCAACTGTGTATTCAAAATTATTTTGCTCATTATAATAAGTGAAACTAACAAAAAAGAAAAACATAACTTTAAAATCAAACTAGGGCAAATTTTAGAGTTAAAGATTTAAATATATGCAATAGCTTTAGGACACAACTTGGTAATCCAATAACTGCATATAATTTAATATTTCAGAGAGACCCGTTTTAAAACTTCAATTGCTACAATGGCCTTCTACCAAGCTCACCTTTCTCTGTCAAATCTTTCATGAATGATATTAACATCAGCAGCAGGAAGAAGTGTTAGCCTACGTCTCACTTGGTTCTGTCCTTGATGATGTTGAATGTGGTGCTCCGCTTTTCTAAGGCATTCAAATTCTGCCTGTATGATTAAACAAAGAAATCAATTAATGACTACAACACTGAAGAACATTGTTTAACTAACTCTTGAAAAATGTTCAAGTTTGTACACATTTAAAGGAACTACCACGAACACAGAGTTCCAAGTAATTAATAAAATAAGTTACTTAATTTTCAAAATGCTTTTAAATTTTGTCTTTTGTACCTTTTATTTAGAGTTCTATTGTGAAGTAGTTTAATTCAATAGCTCGTTAGAGCTGGGCGATTAACTTGATTACCTCCGAGCATCGATTAGTCACACAAAAAAAATTAGTTAATCGAAGTTACAATTAAAACAGCATCACAAAAATATCAACTATATTAACAAGATGTTAACCTTTGTTGCATATAACAGTAGAAACCAGAGGACCATAAGAAAGTCAATAATGTTTTAGAACAAGGTCTGGTTTGTGTTGTTAAGTATTTAATCTTGTTAACCTTTGTTGCATATAACAGTAGAAACCAGAGGACCATAAGAAAGTCAATAATGTTTTAGAACAAGGTCTGGTTTGTGTTGTTAAATATTTCAAGATTAAATACTTAACAATACAAAACAGACCTTGTTCTAAAATCAGGAATTCTCAAACTTATTCCTTTGTATACCACTTTTAAAATTTTGATCAAATTATCATACCACTATATAGTATCTTATCTACCCCAGAACAGCTAGTGCTGTACAAATTACTCATTTGGCACACCAGTTGACAACAACTGCCATACCACTGGTGGTATACATACCATAGTTTAAGAAACCCTGTTCTAAATTATTATTAACTTTCGTGGTATTGTCCTGTGGTTTCTGTTGCTGTAACTATAAGCAACAAAGGCCAACAATATGAAATACTTAACAATACAAAACAGGCCTTGTTCTAAAACACTGACTTTATCATCTTATGGTTCCTGCTGCTACATACGACAGTTTTAATTTTCTTACCTACAACCACTATCACTATCTAAAAGGAAGGTTTTCCTTAAAAACTTGCTCAAAGATAATTCTAGTTCACACGGTAAGTGACAAGAAAATAAAGAATGTAACAGTTTTGATTCTTAACTTTGCTAGTTTGTAAGATGGAGAAGAAACACAATGTTTAGTTTCACATTATAATTTTATACATTATTAGGTAATGCACCCATGTAGCATCACAGTAAAAATAGTTTAAAAACAAGTGTTTCACTATTAAAAGTATCATCGAGAACAAGGTGTTTTATTAAACATGTCCTGAAAAATACAACATATGGAACACAACGCTTCAGTGGATAAAATAAATACTACTTCAGTGGGATGTGTATGAATGGCACCAAGGCTCGTAATACACACTCTTCCTTGCTAAAACAAGTGCTATCACAGTTTCAAATAACAACTTGATTGCATCATGTTTTTCATGTAAAGCCTGGCAAAACAAATAACCATTGTTAGGTCATAACTCCTCCAAAATAATTTTTTTTTTTTTAAGAAATACAGTCCATGCATAAATCTTTCAAATCCAGCCCATACAGATACTAGAGCTGTCTTCGTGTTAAAGGAATGTTCAGTCCTCAATGTAATAGAACAAGTCTAACAGAATTAGAATTCTTGCTGAGTATAAACGAGTTTTAGCTACTGATCTGAAACAAAGATGAAGCAGGGCCTTCTCTGTCATGGCAAAGTGCCAAGCAGATGTCCTTGTGAATACATAAAACTTGTATACACACACACACACACACACATCTAGGAAAAAATTATCTTCAAAGACTGGTCTGTAGTTATAGTATTGACTGAAGCAATATTTTTTTGAATAAAGATAACAAGTTTATGGTGGAAACTGTTTTGGCTGGTGGCACATGGCAATGGTTCCAAACCTTTATCTAGCCGAGGACAAGATACTTTTATGTTTCATTGTGAAACAATGTATTTTAGTAACTATATTTTAAAAACCAGTTTTTTTTTCAACCTTCTTTCGGACTAGCTGAAATCTCCCTGCGGATCAGAAATTAGGAACCAGCAAATATACAAAATCATATACAAGTTGTCTGTAGCTTAGCATTTCCTAAATCCATACATTTTACATAACTAACAATAAGTTTGTAAACTAACAACACAAATACTTCATTAACTCTCTGTTCAGCTATTGGTTAATCCATCTACCTCTTACATTCAATAAGGCTTAGTGGATAATTCCGACATTTATTCTAAAATATCAAATCAGTAAAACAAACATCACTAGCACTTTATGTGTAGAACAGAAACTATAAAAGACAATAAATATCAATTAATATCCCTCATTTTAACACTAATTTATACTGACAATTTTCAAGGACAAGATTTATTTCTCACTAACATGCCTAAAATTAACCAATCACATTCGAGCTTATTGGAACGAAGTTGTAATATAAACAAGTATTATATCTAGAACTTATTTCTCTGGAAATGTAATAATAATCCTAGACTAAAAAAAAATTACGTATGCAACTGCTTTTTTTTTTTTTTTAACTTCAAAACAGTTCCCATTACTTTAGGGTCCAACAATAAAACTCGGAAGAAATGTAGGCACAGCCTACTTGATGGTACCAACCCTACACATAACTGTTAAAAAAAAAATCTTTGTATAGATTTCATAACCAACCAATCGTTTCCCATATATATTTTTAATATATATAAATTTTCATTTTTAGGAAGATGTTACTTTGGATAAATCTGGACCACCCAAAGATTGTTTGTCTTTAAGTAAGCTATATTTGCATAACATGAGTATCATTATGTATAAAAGATGTGCACCACACAGACCCGTAAGTGTCAATAATAGCAAGCAGAATGTTGAGAACAGGATGAATATTCCTGTAATTCCATGATATGTCTCATGACACACACTTCGTGGATCAGCTGCTTCAGGTTAATCAGTCACCATAAGGGTTCCCAAAAATATCAAATACAATCAAATTATTCCAAATATGTCCATATATATGTATTGGACAAATCACAAAAATCCCCTTCATTACTTGATAGAAGATTAATCTCAATCTAACTAAAGTCTTTCGAAGCATATTCTTAATAGTTCAGCCTCTATGTATGGCATAACCTTCAAAAATATTTATGTCATTATGTATATTCATTAGCCACATGTTCACTCCTGCCAGACCATGAACAATTACGACAGCAGACGGTCAACAGCTTTGAAAGTAAAGATAGCCATAAATTTTGGCCCTAACTGAGTAAATTAACCAATGTCTGTTCACCGTAAATGAGAAGATGCTATATCTATTAGTTTTTTAGTAACTCAGTTTTATTCTGCTTTGTACATCAAATGCTGGGAATGATGTCATTGCAACCATACTTGTACACACACACACACACACACACACATTTATTTAAAATTAGAAAAAAACATTACCTTCCCAATCCCCTCCTAAAAGCTTGGAAGGCAATAAAATTAACTATATTAGCAATCCAGAGTGTATGTCACAAAAACAAATAAATGAGGAAAGGAAATTCAGGGTTAGTTAATGCTTTGGATACAAATCAAATGAAAACTATGGGAGACTTCATTGTTTGTTTAGGCACAAAATCACATCTACTTAATTACAGAAAAAAAAAAAGTTTAATTAATAAAAAATAATACATAACTATCATCAGGCATAATGCTGACCTGAACGACTGGTGTTGAAACATGTAACAAAATATCTTTATTTTATAATAACAAATAACTGTGGCTGAAAAGGTGTATTACTTTTATTAATTAAATGTCACAAGATATAACAGTAAATCAAAGGTAAAATGGTTTAATATATTTGTTTGTTGTTGTTGTTTTGTAGATTTGGGTAATTGTGTGCTTAATAATCATAGATGCTGATGAAAAGGTGATATAAAAAAATTACTTCTTAAACATTCTTTTTTTTTTTTATCATAGTGACTTGTATTAACAGTTAAACTACTAAATAGAACCACAACTATATTTATGTGACCTTAAACACACAAAACCTAAAATAGATCTTTATGATAAGAGGCTTACAGGATCAAAAATTGAAGTCCATAGATAAATCCAAGGCTAAAACTACATACTAAAAGTCTAGGAACATATCTAATCATCAGTTTTAAGTATTAAAGTCACATTAAAAGACAGTAAACAGTAATATCAGCACTCAATTAATCTTGCAATTCCTAATGATAAAAACAAGATATCGTGGATTAACGGTTACACCTGATGATCACACATAACATTATCATACAGTACTATTAGTCCTAGTGACCACACCATATTATCTTGACCTAACATTACATCTGATGACCACACCGTATTATCCTTACCTAACGTTACATCTGGTGACCACACCGTATTATCCTAACCTAACATTACATTATCTTGACCTAACATTACATCTGATGACCACACCGTATTATTTACCTAACATTACATCTAGTGACCACATCGTATTATCCTGACCTAACGTTACATCTAGTGACCACATCGTATTATCCTTACCTAACGTTACATCTGGTGACCACACCGTATTATTTGACCTAACATTACATCTAGTGACCACATCGTATTATCCTGACCTAACGTTACATCTAGTGACCACATCGTATTATCCTGACCTAACGTTACATCTAGTGACCACATCGTATTATCCTGACCTAACGTTACATCTAGTGACCACATCGTATTATCCTGACCTAACGTTACATCTAGTGACCACATCGTATTATCCTGACCTAACGTTACATCTTATTATCATTATTATTGTCTTTTATTATTTATAATGTATATACACATTATTACTTTAATTATGATGATAATGATATTGATATAATAATAATGATATTATTGTATTTTATTATCGTCTATTATTATCATAATTCACTGGTTACAAGTAATTTCTCTACATGACTTTGGACAGCTAATTACAACTACAGGAGTTTCATGATTTGTTGCACCATTTAAGACACCAGTGAAACAAAATATGTATCTAAAAAACACGAATATTTACTTCATACACATTATAATT